TTGTGTTTTGAGGCTGGAGCAAGATCTGCTCTTAGTATTAAAGGACAAGGCAACACTAACAAAACATGGACTTTTTTGATTAGTGGAGGTGGCCAAAAGCCCAAGAGGGCTATCAAAACATCAAATACAGCCATCTTAAATGCTCCAGGCTGTTCGTGCTTAACACTTAAGCTTGTTTTCACCTGACAATTAAGTGAATTGGCCTGGTCTGAGTACATGGAACATGAAAAAACTCAGTTGTGACATGCAGGGCCGTAAACAGCGAAGAAGTTGTTGAAACATGAATGGCTGGATCTGTGTTGCACCATATACCAAAATAACGGCGCTGTTCAGGATCCAACCCTTTTCTTCATTCACAAAAAAGCCAGATACCCCTCAGTGTTATCCCAAGTTGAATTATTTGTGTGGGCAAATGAGAGGTCTCAGTAAAATGTAACCAAGCTAAAGATGCAGCAGAGGCAAATGTTAACTGTCCACTTTCCACGACTGAATCCTTGACTTTTCTTAGATAAAGTCTAATCTCCAAATTGTCTAGTCTCTGGTTGTTCTGCCTGGATAATCTGAACCAATTTCTTACAGACAGACCGATGCATCAGTCCCTGCCACTTACAGAAACATACTGGGTCTGATGCAAAAATATTGCAAATTTGTTGTTGTGAATTTGCATTTAGTTTCATCGTGCCATGACTGCTGGTATTGGTAGCAGTGGCACAGATCCTGGATTCACCCCCCTTTCCTCTTTCTAGCAGAGGTTGTTTCTCAAGTTCTGATGAACCTTGCTTCTTATTGTTCTATTATTGCTGTTTAGTTCAGCAGCTCTGAACTGACTCCAGCTGAAGCCAGCAAGTTTAACTATTGGTTTCACAGGTGTGTAATGGTACACTGGAATAGTATAAATGCAAACCTACTCTTCTAGCGCAGCCTGCTAGTTTCCCCTCCTTGTTACAGAGTGGGATGATCTGGCAGCCTAATGGTTTTTCCAAGAAAAATATGCCTGCCCTAAATTCTCCCTGTGCTTCCTGGTTTTAGGGGGGGTCGGTTTGTTTTTTTCTTAATGGCTTATCTCAACTTGAATGAAAGATGTTACTAAGATTATTGGAGATTTTAAGTGTGTGTTTATGTGCACATAGAGAAAGCAAGCCTGAGATGGCATAGCTTTCCAGATCCATTGAAATCAGTACAACCTGAGCATGAAGATTTTAAAGGAAAATCCTGTCTTGCTGCTTAACTTCTTTGTGCTTTATTTAATGAAGAAAGAGCAGCTTTGTGACTATCATCCATTCACATTGGTGAGGGAGGCAGTGGCAATGTAAGCACAAAATCTCATGTGTATGACTTGCTGTTAAATGTGACCTTGCCTAGTTTTGAAAATAATGGTTTTTCTACCAGCTATGCCAGTGAAATAGATGGAAAATGGAAATACAAAATTTAAAAAAAAAATCAAACCAATTTGCTGGGTAAGTCTGTTCTATCTTCTTAACATTTAGTATTGGCCATCGAAAGGCAATCAGAAACTTTCAGTTCTCTACTCAACTGCTATAAATTGTTTTTGTAGAGACCTCCAAGGATGTCTCAAAGAATGCCTTCTTCATGCCAACTTCTGTCAGCATCTGTACTGCATCTTTCAGTACTGAGGTGGCAGGTCTTGCTGTTAAAATGTGCTTGTCAAGACTGAAGAGGGAGTCTAGAGTTCAGCTGTTGACAGCTCATAAAGCAGAAAAATACCTAGAAACGAAGGGGAAGCAGGAACAGTGTGGCAGCATCTCTCAACTGTAGCTGAGCTGTTCTTGGGTTTTACCCAGGGAGGACACCTGCTCTGTATCTACGCTGTGTCCCACTGGTCAGTCCCAGACACATATGCACTGCATGGGATACCTTTGAACACTATCTACTCCACAGGCCTTTAGCTGCTCCTAGGGGTCTTTGTGAATTGCCTTCAACTTGTGCTCCTTATTTCACCAACTCAGCCTGTGCTTGGAATCCTGCTCCCTTGGAGAGAAACTCCAGCTGAAAATATCCCAAATCAGGAGGGAATTACTGCTAGTCAGTCTGCCCAGTCCTTGGTCCCTCCCAGCTATTGTTCCACTTCCTTGGGGTTAAGGAAAAGGTGAAGGTCTTTTTCTAAGATGTTTCTGAAGTAAGCAGGTTTTTGTAACGAACTGGGGAAAAAAACAAAGAGCTGCAGGGAAAAGGGAGCTGCCGTTTCATGAATAAATGTTTTATATATGCAATAACAGCCACCCTTCACCACAGGATTGCCTTGATTTTTGTGAGAGGTTGCTCTGCAAGGGCATGTTAAGGCCTGTTTGGCCCTGAGATTTCCTTCCTGGCATTCCCGATGATAGACTAAGGCCAAAACAGCACAAAGTGGTCCCCAGGGCAGCGGTGGGGAGTCATCGGGAGTATATGCCAGCACTAGATAGAGGGGAAAAAGGAAAAGGAAAACCAGTCTGTGGGCTTGAAATAAGGGGAGGTGGAAGGACACTGAAATGCCAGAGGGAACAACATAGCAAAGGAGATTGTGCAGGCTGAAGAGGGATTAACAGGTATTAGAAAAAAACAGAAGACATGAGTGACTTTAGATTGATACTGAGATGAGCAGCAGGGAATGTTCTTGGCAAGGGAGCATGAGGAAGTTGAACACAGATGGCAAGGTGTAAACAAGGAGGCAGACCTGAGAAGCTGTGAGGGTTGGATGGCAAAAAGCTTAAAAATCCAGAAATGGGAAGGTGAAAAGTGTAAGAATAATTTTATTTAGTATTTCAGTAATACAATGGCATATCTCAAAACGACCATAAAAGTTAGCTTGCTGATCAACTGCTTACATTCTAAATGGGTGCTACTAAATTTGATAACTTTACTGATTATATGAGGCACTATTTGACCAACAGCTATAAAGTGTGTAACCCCCTGACAGACATGAGCAGTGTGAATGGAAGTTGCATTAGTAGTCAATGCATAGTTAAAGCTTTTGGTAGAGTAAAAAAATTGCAAATGCCATTTTTATTAAAATATTATCTTTGTGTTAGAATAACTGTTCAATTGTAGGTAATATCCTTTGTATATTTTTAATAACAGTACTTTAAAAGGTCCAAGAAAAATTGTTTTGCTACCATTTGATCTAATGTAGATCTCCACGTGAAAATGCTGAACATCTTATAAAGCTTTTCACAGGTATATAGGCTAAGTTCTGGGATATCACAAACTCTTACAGGGTTCAGAAAAATACCTGAGGTTACTCCTTGTGTATGTAATAGAAAAGGTTTATTTTAGCTCCCCCCAAAAAAGACACGCGTATAAAGTCAGAAACATTAATCAGGTACATTACTCTTGTGTGGGGTTATGGAGCAGTACTTTTAGACTTGATTCAGGTTATTAAAATCAGCAGCAAAGCTTCTACTTAAGAATATTGGGATTGTGTCATTAACCCAGCACTTACCAATGTCAGTGTGAGTTCTGTCACTGCTGCCAACATGACTAAGACTGGCCATCAAAAGACCCAGTGCAAATCTTTACTTGCATAGGTCTCAGCAGAGCTACTCTACTGTGTAGCAGGGAATCCTTCATTTTCTAGTTCTACTAATACCTTATTTAGTACTAGGGTGAACACAAGTCATGTGAGGTACTCTTATCTTTGATGGATTTCATATGTGATTGAAGGTGATCTGCAGCTCCAAAAAAGTGCCAAACGCTTTCCAAAATCAGGTATCTACACAGGGTTGTTTGCTCTTTAGAGAAATATATGCTGCTTTGTGTGCACAAACATTATCCAGAGATTCAAGTTTTAATTGTATGGTTTACTTCAACATAGTAGTTTTGGGGTTGTTAGGTGTTTTTATGTCCTCTGTCTCACAAAAATTTTAGAAGTACTTTCTCTTCAGTTAATGGGTACATTAATCATTACATGTAATGTTAAGTTTTCCTTGTGAGACCTTGTTCCAAGCAAATTATAGTAAAAGTATGTAGTTGATTTTTGGATATTCCTTTAACTCAACCTAACAGAATGACTAGTGAGCAGGGTTGTATTTGCTGTATGCTTTACTTAAGGCTTGTGACATGGAAGTTTAAATACAAAAACCTCACTTCCAAATACCTCAGTCGATGTTGATTTCACTGGACTTATCAATGTGCCTAGGGACAGGAATATTAACTCTTTATTAGAGAAATACAAAGTTCAGCTATATCTTTATAAAACTTTCTAATTAAAATACCTTTTGTTCATGAATATGCTGATGAACAGATTAGGATATATCTTGTATCACCCTCACCATTTGATGACCTATCAGATCTGATTTTTTTTAAATTTATGAAAAGTTACTATAGGACATTCTGTTCAGTCACATAAAATATTAATTTTATTCTCAAATGTGCTTATAAGCCAGTCTATTTTTTTTAGTCATTTATGTAAACACTTTGGAATGCTAAAGGCAAACTTTACATTGTCATTTTATCAAAAATCCTTTCAAGGTTGATTATTGAGGCATGAATGTACATCCCAGCAGTCACAACACAGGACCTGCCATGTTCCTCTCTGGCAGTTTCCAGCAGAGTGTATTCAGAGGTAGGCTGCAGTGTTCTGAGCAACCTTTTTTTTTTTTTCTTTAATAAAAGATTTCCCTCGGGGATGTGGAGTCACTGAAGGTGAACTTAGAGTTAAGGCATAGCGCATGGAGTCATGGAAAAGCTTGTACAAACAGTTCCTGGAGATGCTCCAGCCAGTCAGTAGGTAAAAAAGGGCTTTACAATGGCAACTTCTGTGAACAAGCTAGAAAAGGCTTACTTTCAAATTGCTTATGTTCTATCATTTAATATATTAGATTGACCCCCTGACTCTCCTTCTAGAATTAAAGAGGACTGAATAATACACCTTGTGCAGTTTTTTGCTGCTCTCATAACTTGCAATATTTGCTAATTTCCAAAAAGATTACCAGAACAAACTATGACTTCTTTAAGTCTAAGAAGAGAGCAAGGGATTATCTTTAGAGGCAAGGTTTTTTTGCTTAGGCATTTGCTGACAGCTGATTTTCATTGGCTGCTTTCTCTGCTTGCAGTCTTTGGACAGCCTGATCGAGCAAATCCATAGTATCTCTAAGAGTAACATTCAAGGTAAATGGCTTAGGTTTAATGGTCAACCCATAGGTAAAGTCCATTTTAGGGTCCTCATTTGGATTAGCAGTAAAATTGCACTGATGCACAAGTATGGAGGTGAAGAGGAACAGCTGCACCTTGGATAACTCTTCTCCAATACAGCGACGTTTTCCCAATGAAAAAATCATCACGCTACTAGTAAGATCTTTATTGATGAATCCGTTCTCATCTAGAAATCTGGTTGGATCAAAATCCTCTGGGTTGGACCATTTTGCTGGATCGTGATTCACTGACCACTGATTAACAAAAATCACTGTGTCCTTGGGAATGAGGTAGCCCATTATGAAGGTGTTGGTTGTGGTGGCGTGTGGGATAGTGACAGGCACGAAGCTGCTGAAACGCATGGATTCATACAAGAAAGCCATGATGTAAGGCAAGTGAGGCTGGTCTTCAGCACATGGCAGACGGTCTCTTCCAACAATTCTATCCACTTCTTCTTGCATTTTAGCCTGCACATTCGGATACCTGTCATTGAAAGTAAGATGTACGTACATAATAGTTTCAAAAGGTTTTCTTAGAAGTAATCATTGCTGTAAACATTTTTCACAGAACCTCATCCCTACCCCAAATAATGCAGTTTGAGCAAAGTTTAAATATATTGCAGGAACCTGCAGACCTTGATGGAAAACTTTATGAGAGAAAAGTCTAAACTTCCCATGCAATGGTGTAATTTTAGATTTGCTCAGGTTTCACTTTAGTATCCCATGTAACTGATTCTCAACAAAAAATGAAACTTTACTCATAATATGGAATAGTCTGATCCAATTTTGAAAATTCATTCTTACTAAAATTACATGTCTCTTCTAAATATTGGCCTTTCCATGGGAACAAGAATTTGGTTTTCCAGCTCTGTATGTAACTTTTAAATATTAGCATGGAGTTTGTTATCACCAGACACACTGAATACATATGAAAGTCTGAATGGTTTTAAACTGAAAAAATCCCTGCTAATAATTGTCAGAATTGCTTTATGAACATCCCCCTCTTAGTTTGTGTAAACTTTTTTCTAATGAATATCAAAATATGTTTTCTTTAGAATGTATTTTAAGACCACTGTCTTGGCATTGAATAGTTTGGAAGACTACACAGTAACCAAATAAGATCAAAATGTTAATAGATTTTGGTTATTTTCTTTTGATTGTCTAAAAGCACTGGTTCCTCCAAGGAGCCCTTCTTTGCTTTTTGAAGTATTTAATTTTGGCTTCTGTGCCCTCGCTTTTTCCTCCTGCAGCAGATCTGCCTGTTGAATACTGGGCAAATCTAAGAAATGGTGAGAAACCCAACAGGTTAGGTCAACACTGGGCATCATACCCTTAGCTCGAAGCATTTAAGTATTTGTCCGATTTTCAAGAAGCAGCTAAGTTTGCAGAAGCCTACAAATTATGCAAGATGATGCAAGAAAAAGCCAGGGCAGGCAAGGAAATCCGTGTTATGCCTTCTTCTATTAAACCAGCTCCCCTAGCTGATTTTCCCCCGGGACGAGCTGGTTCCAGGGCAGGGCACAGGGGGCTGTACTTGCCTTTCCCTCAGTCACGCCATGGCGATAAAGGCACACGCTACTAGCAAATTAACATAATAGCGGGTTTGTAAACCAGTGCACGAACTTTTTATCTTGCTTAAGCAGTTGTTATCCTGTTCCTATGATCTCCTTGATCTTGACCTGGTAAAATCTTTCAGGTTTTATTCGGCTGCCTTTTTGCCAGCCTCTCTTAATTCACCATTCCCCGACCTCCGGTGTCGTGGGTTGTTATGGTTTGGGTTTTTTTTGTTTTGTTTTGTTGGTTTTCTTTCTTTTTCTGGCAGGTTTCCCGGAGCTTCCGTGACAGTTAATCGGAAGCCGCCGGGGCACCCGGCTCGGCACGG